CATGCCGTGCTCTACCATGCATCGCGTACCCTTTCGGGATCATTGTCCTGCTCGACATCCGACTGTGCGAGTAGAGAGGGGATCTACGCCATGGTAAAAGATGGGAGGGAGGGGTAGGATCTCAGATATGACGCGAGCGCATCTAGCTTGTTCCCACCCCTCCCCAGCCCCCGCGGTCCAGTGAACCTCCGCCCAATGCCACCTCCGCCCCGACCACATTATTCCGCGTCGCACCGCGCCCCCCTCCTCCTCCCTACCCCTCCCCAGCGTTCCCCAATGGGCCAGTGGAACCTCCACCCAGTGCCCACTCCGCCCCGCCCCGACCACTTTTTTCCGCGTCGCACCGCACCCGCCCCCCTCCCCGCCCCCCTCCCGTCCCTGCCCAACCCCGCCCCTGCCCGCTCCCCTCCCAACCCTCCCCAGCGCGCCCCAACGGCCCAGTGGGACCTCCGCCCAGTGCCACCTCCGCCTCGGCCATTTTGTTCCGCGTCGCACCGCGCCCCCCTTTCCCCATATCGGCGCACCCCTCGCAACTATCGTTGCCCCAGAGGGAGCTCCACCGAATGAAGCGCCCACAACGCCGCATTCACAACTGCAGGCGGCGGGGCCCTTCGCCGGGATAGTCAGTTTCCTCCTCCTACTCTTGCTCCCCCCCCTCTTCTATGTGCAAGAGCCATGGCACGCGTGCCACTTGTGTTCTACCGCTCTTCGCCAGCAAACTCGTGACCGAGGACAAAAGAGGGCCTGCACACACACACACACACACACACACACACACACACACACACACACACACACACACACACACACACACACACACACACACACACACACACACACACACCACACACACACACACACACACAACCACACACACACACACACACACACACACACACACACCCAACATACAACACACACACACACACACAGCAAAAAACACACACACACACACACACACACACACACACACACACCACCACACACACACACACACAAACCACACACACGACGCGCACACCGCACAGCGCCACACGCGCAACACGCGCACACGCGCACGGAAGAGACAGCGCACACAGCGCACACGCGCACAACGCCAACACGCGCACACGCGCACATAACGCGCACACGCGCACACGCGCACAACGCCCAACACACGCACACACGCACACACGCACAAACGCACACAACCACGCACCACACACGCACACACGCACACACGCACACAACGCACAGACGCACACAACGCACACACGCACACACGCACGACACGCACACACGCACACCACGCACGACAACGCACAACGACGCACACAGACACACCGACACACCGACACACCGACACCCGACACACAGACACACAGACACACAGACACACAGACACACAGACACACAGACACACAGACACACAGACACACAGACACACAGACACACAGACACAGACACAGACACAGACACAGACACACACACACACACACACACACGCGCACACGCACACACACAAACACACGCAAGCACACACATACACACACACACACACTTGTTGGGCCATCGCGGCCACGCCAGCAGCTGCGCGGCTTAGAACGCCCGTCGAAGAGACGCGCGCGGCTGGCCCAGGTCACGCGGCGTGGGGGCACTGGATCCGCCCACACGGGATCGGCTGCATCACTCGCGGGTGGGGGGCAAACGCGAGGGTGATGGGCCTGTTTTCCACCACCACCACCATAAGTAAAAGGGGGGAAGGACGCGGAGGATGAGGAGGAGGAAGAGGAGGAGGAGGAGGAGGAGGAGGAGGAGGAGGAGGAGGAGGAGGAGGAGGAGGACCCCCCCCCTTCCTGCTTGTGGTCGCCAGAGGGGGGCGGCGGGGACGAGGGGAACGGGGGCGAACGACGGGGTGGGCGGGGCGACGGCAACGAAGCAGTGCACAGTGCCAGTGGTGGAGAACGAGCCGCACAGGCGGGCCGCAGGCGGGCGAGACAGCAGGGCACACACGCACACGCCACCCTGGGGTTAGGTCGCGCATGTCCCCCTACAGGTGGAATTTGGGCGACAAATAACACATTCCCGACAAATCTTCAAACATAGGCGAAACTAAGCTCCAACAATTGCCCCCAGACTAATCATTTCTGGGCTATTTTTGAATATTTCTTCTGTAGAGAGACACGCCCGACTTCACCCTGGGGCCCAGGACGGGCCATGGCCCCGGACATCCGACGATCCGCTTCCTCCAAGGCGCGGCCCCAAAGGTCCCGAACCCCTCTCCCCAAGGACACTTTTTTGCCCGGGATCCATCCTGGGTGCCCCCCAGACCCGGAAACGGCCCCCCGGACCCGAAATCGAAGAAACCCGCCATGTGACACAATCCCCAGACACCCGGCGCCTCAATTTTTTTCCGAAACCTAAGTCCCCCGGGGACCAACTTTTCATCCCGAGTCGTGTTTGGACGGCCCCGAGATTCTCACCAGGGCTGCCGTAGGCCGAAACTGCTGAAGCCTCGCCGTCTCCAAGACGCCGAATGTCCAGGACCACTCTTGTCGGAGCTGCTGGGCCAGGCACCGTGGGCGGTGCGCAGAGATGCCCTCTGCGAGACGGGCCCTCGCGGCCCCCGCGCCGCGCGCGGACCGCACGCCGCGCCCGGGCGGGCGGCCGCTCATCCGCCGGGGGGCATCGTCCAGAGCGTCGGCTCCTCGGCGCCGACGACGCGGACGAGGACGAGGACGCGGGCGCTTTGGCCTCTGGGGCCCATCTTCGGGGGCTCTCAGGGGCTCTCTTGGGGCAGCGCGCGCGGGCAGGTGGCGACCTCCGCAGCCTACCCTCACCGACCACCGATTCTCCTGAACCGATGGGAGGCGGGGGCGGGGTCGGATTTCGCCCCGTGTTCGACGAACTCCGGACCCTACCCCCGCCGCCCATTGAGTTGCCTGAATCGTTGATCGGCGAGGGGAAGGTTCGCATTTCGCCGCCGACAGGAGGGAAAGCGTGGGCGTCGAAGACGACGCCCGAATCGAAAACCCATAGAGTCCCAGCAATGGAACCTAGGCCGACGGGCCGAAAGCAGCCTGGAGGGACGTAACGGCGCAGCAACCGGCCGTGCCGAGCCGAACGAACGCAGCCGCCTTCGAAGTAGCCGGACCGATCGAACCGCGGACACCCTTGATAGCCCAGGATCGTGGCTCGAGGCTACCGTGAAGGTTTTCGAGCGTTTCTGGTGTTTTCTGGGCCTCCTCGCCACCACGGCTGGACCCGCCTCGAAAATCGGTTCTGCACGCACATGGAGGTCAGACACAACAAAGACAATACGTTCCAGCACGTTGCCCCTCCCTCTCGAACCTCCTCCTCCTCCTCCTCCTCCTCCTCCTCCTCCTCCTCCTCCTACTCCTCCTCCTCCTCCTCGATCCTTGCTCCTCCTCCCGATCCTCGATC